CTGTCCTCCTAAAAGTCACAGGCTAGACTCCATCCCCCCCATGTAAGTCAATACAAGCTGATGGCCTGAAAGAAGTTAACTGATTAAAAGGAAGCAGGTTGTGAGCGAATGAAATCCCAGAAAAAACCTGAAATAAATGTAACTTGATGTTGTTATCGTTGTCTTACAAGAATCGCCGTGGTACTGAAGCGAGGGCGGGAGAGGATGTCGCAGCTGGGCTCCTGTGCAGGTGGGTCTGTTTCGCTCGTGGACAAGATCCCCAAGTCCTCTGACCTGGCTTCGCTCGGTGGCAGTGAAAGATGGTACGTTCGTGGAGGTGGCAAGACTTATTTCTGATTCCAAGCAGCGGACACCAACCATCGACTCAGGGCACAGGAACAGGAGACGGCAGCTAGGTCCACACCGAGGGTCCGCTCCTGTGACCTGGCCACGCACCTACAGATGCTTTGCACCTACAGAGACGTCCTCTAAAGTATCTTGTGTGTGTACCAGTGTCAAGTTGGCCCAAAAAGTGACCTGCAGAGTCACCTGACCTGGTACCAAACTCAGGCATCTATTCTGAGAAACCAAAGTCTGACTTCCAAGACCAAAGAAAACAGAAACTGAAGAAAGAAAGGAAAAAAACCCTTAATCTTCTCCAGAAACCTAGGGAGAGGGGGGCACCCACCAGTTCCTGCAGTCGCCAGAGAAAAAAATGTGCATTTTTAAGTGGAGAAGAAAACAGCTATTGTCTAACACGTAAATAAAAGATACTGTATAAACAGCTAACAGCTGTTTTTCAGCCTTTGCTTTTTAGAGCAAAAGCCAATTTAAAAAAAGACATACTCTTTCAAACGTTGCTTTTGTTCAGAGCCCAGATTTTCTACAGCTCATTTCCGACCCAGAAGTAGGCCCTGTTTCGGATCATTTTGTTTTGAAGACTAGAGAAAACTACAAAATTCAGTCCAGGGCCACAGACCTAGAGGGAGCCGGAGCCGGACAGATTTTGCTGTGGGGGTAGGGGTGCACACGTCAGCGGGGGCTTTCGTGTTACAGAGCGAACCAGCACTCCTCGGTGAGTGGATGCTGAAAGGAAAAACATCAGCTCTGCAAGCAGAAATCGGAGACAAAGTGCATCTCTCTGTGATGCCGTCTGATCTCCACACCTCGCCCACGAGCTCACCGAGGAGGTCAACCGCATGGACCGCCAGTCACTGTCCAGGAGTGAAAGCCGCCTGAGAAGACCAGGAGACCCAAGTGAGCACCCGTCTTTTACATAAGGAAATTAGAGGGAACTTCCAAAAGGGATATTCATATGAAAAACTGCTAGCAAAGTCTTCTAATTATGAAGCCAGAGGAATAAAATAACAATGAGACACAGCCTGGTTTATAAACAGAGACTCAAAGAAAAGGCCTTACTTACCCCTGCTGGCACCTCTGCCCGTGGTGTTTACTCCACCCTGAGTACCAGCTTCAGTCCTGAAAGCAAATCTTTTACCTACTTTGGGTGTCAGATCTTCACCCATCAACAACTTTTATATTATATATAAATATATACATACACAGATGCATATCTATGCATGTAAACATATTTGTATAGACACATACATATATATGAAGAGAGACAGAGAGCTTTGAAATTTTCTCTATTTACTATGTATCATTTCTCAGAATGTTGAAGTGGAGGCAGATCTCCTCCTGTATGTGTGTATCTTGATGCTGGGTTCATATGCCCTGAATATTATGAACACTTGACATGCATTCCCAGCGTCAAGGCAGGACCACTCCTCTGAAGGCCCTCCTGTGCAGTGTCATTAGATCCTGAATAAACGTGGCCCTTCATGTGCACTGCTGGGCTTGCAAATAGCAGAGGAACCTCTAGAGTCCAAAGAGACGAGCAGGGAGCCGAGATGCAAGCAGACGTGCTACGCGAAGGACAAAAACACTAAGCCCTGGGCCCCTGGTGAGGTGCGAAAGCCGAGCTCAGGTCTCCTCCTTTAAACCCTGACCCTTGAGGCCTCCAGGTCACGGAGGAAGGAAATGAAAACCTCTTCTGGAGTCAACAACCCAGTTTAGGCCTTTGCGACTCCACAGATAGAGCAGAATGAGTTCAGAATCAAAGATCGCCAAACAGCAAGAAACTACGCCACCGTATGGAAGAGGGCCCAGAAACGGCAAACAGCACATTTAAAACAAACCACACGTTTTGTGGACTTCAGTGCCGTTATTATCAAATGCAAAACAAAATATTTAAAGAAATCCAAGACAGCATCACACGTGTGTGCGAGTACCAGGAGACCGTGGAATATGACCAGGCACATCTGAACGTGAGCCAAGTGAAACACTTAGAAGTGAAAACTATAATTGTTGAGATTAAGAACTCAGTGGCTGGACTGAGCAGTAAATCAAACACAGCTGGAGAGAGAGCCAGTCAGCCGGTGTCTGAAGAAATCCCCAGAACACGGCGCAGAATCTGAGAGGGGCTGAGGCGTGGAAGCTCGGACGAGGGTTGGCAGATGGGCACCAGGAGCCCCGAGAAGGCGAGGGCGGGCGGAAAGGCCCTGGCGGTGAGACACGAGGACGCCAGACTGGCAAGCCGTGAGCGCCCACGGGCACAGGGAAGCACAGCGCACCCCGCAAAGGATGGGTTTTTGTGACCTGCACTCAGATACACCTTAAAACCGCAGAATACGGAGCTCAGAAAGATCTTAGCGGCAACACGCAGAGAAAAGGCCAGGCGTCTCCACAGAAACGGGCTGCCAGCCTCACACAGCGACGGCGACGGGGCCCTGCGGAGGATCTCCGCGCCGTCAGGAGGCAACGGGGCCGCATGGACGGCAAAAGCGCCTCAGAATGAGTTCACACGGAACCGGCCGGTAAACGTGAGCAGCAGCGCCAAGGGGGCCGCACTGGAGCATCTTTCTGGCTGTCATACCAGGGATGCTTTTCGTTGAAAAAAAATATTTAATCGTGAGGTTAACATTTACTTAGCTGAGTGTCAAAGAGGGCTTTTCGTGTTCCCGGACTCTCTGGAATGCAGGGAACAATCGAGTTATTGGCGGTTGAAAATGTCAGAGAGCAGTGATCACAGTTCGCTTCCCACTCTCAATTACTCCAAGCACTGTCTGATTTTGAGGCTGTTCTCGAGAACTCAAATGTTTTTCTGGTGTATATTGTGCAGCGTCCACGTGCTCAGTATGACTAATGCATTAGTCACAAGTTACAGGAGAGCTTCAGAAAAGGACGGTCTTGGCCTCTGGCACGGCTTTGTTCACAGCCCCTAGTTCTCCAGTCCGACCAGATGCTGGTGGTCGCGCCTCCGAGCCTGGCTCCATTCTGGCAGGAGTCCGACCAGATGCTGGTGGTCGCGCCTCCGAGCCTGGCTCCATTCTGGCAGGAGTCCGACCTGATGCTTTTTGAAGCCTTGGCTTCGGTGAAAAGTGCCCTCTTCCTTCTTGGCAGATGATCTGCCTGTATTTCTCCTTCCTTTTCGTGTAATTCTTGTCTACCAGTGGGAAAATGCCCGAGCCCAGTAGTCAAAGAGCTGAGAAAAGGGGAGGCAGGAGGGGGGAAAGGGGGAGCTGATGCACCTTGAACAAAGATCCTTGAAGCTGTGCTTTCTGTAACATGGAAAAGAGGGAACCAACTCAAGAATCCAACAGTGGGGAAAGAGCTACGCCAGCTTTCGGTGTGAAATGAATGGACCATGATATTGCCGTGACTGGCAACAGACGCAAGACTGGGGACAGCAGCTACACGTGGGTCATGAGGTTGCATCAACTGTTTATGTACACAAACGTCAAACTGATAAATGTAGAACATAGACTCAGTTATGCACAAAGGTCACAGTTGTGTAAGATTCATGCTGATAGAGCTCAAAATTAAGAGGATATAGAATCTCCTGACTTATTAGTAAATGTATTATTTAGTCATTAGTGTTTATTAGTAAAATGTATGACAAAAGTGTTATGTTGTTTTGGTTGCTTCCATGAATTCTTAATGTGCTTTCATATAAAGGGAGATGCATCTTTGTTTAAAATGGTGGACTCAAAAAATAGCCGGAGTCCAAACAGGAGACAGAAACCACGCAGTAATTTCTGCGAGGAAAGTTAACTGTAAAGAATCCCTAACACAACTGGAGTAACAAGGAATCAGCTAGTAGGAGGTGAGGAGAGCAGCTGTCACCTTGGGCCGAGGCAGAACGCCCAGGAAGCAGCTGCCGCCCCCCCAGGGCTGAGATCCAGACCTCACTGGAGACAAGCTCATCGGGGCACCCTGGCAAGACTATGGAAACCAGCTCTCCATGAGCCAGCTCTCCGTGGATGGGCTCCCAGCAAAGCTGCCCCGTGGGCGGCCGGGGAAGCCCTCCGAGGGGAGGTGCCCCGTCTCTGGCCCTGCTGTGGAGCCTCCTGTGGGGTTCCAGCACGGGCCATTCCTGTGAGGTGCCAGGGAAGCTGCCCGCAGAGGGCACCCCTGCTCTGCTGCTGACCACAGGGCCCTGCAGAAGCCTGGCAAAGCTGGCCCCTGGGGCCAAGAAGAAGCCCCTCTCCCAGCATCCCTCCAGGACCCCCACTGACAAAGCTCAGCATCACACAGCTGGCAAAGGAGAACTGCTAATAGGGCCCAGGTCCACTACTGCAGAACGGGGAGGGAAGGGTGAATCTGGAGCTGAGAGGGAACGAATTGGACTGTTGCAGTGAAGTAGGCAGATGGCTGTGCACATGTTCACTCCAGGCTGGAAGCCCCAGATTTTCTGGTCAGAGAGCCGAGATCACAGGGGAGCTGCTGACCAGGTGGCCAAGCAAGTCCAGTCATAGCGTCCTTGCATATGCAGTATCTCTTACAAAAGACCACTGGCTTCACCTACTCATCATTTCTGTTCTACCCCAAGGTAGGTGGACTGAATGGGTCTCCACCGTCTTATGATCCCAAACATATGTATAACAACACAAATATGTCTTTCAAGACAAATACGTGTATCAAGAAAAATAACAAGCAGGATACTGTAAGTATGTGTAGTAGTTAAATAAGCGCTAATCATGGCTGTAAAATTTCTGCAGCCTGCCCCTAGACAGTGCAGTGACCACGAGCCTGGGCTCTGAGTCGCGCACTGATTGTGCACCTCGGGGCAAATCGCATCACGTCTCTGCGCCTCGACTTCCCCTCCTGTGAAGTGGGGATATGCTGATACCTACTTCAGAGGACTGTCAGGAGTGAGTGAGTCAGTGCACGTAAACTCTTAGGATAGGGCAGCACACGGCCCGCAGGACGCTGTTGGTAAGTCAGGTGCAGTCATGGGTGTTTGAGAACGGTGACCCCTGGGCTTGAGTCCACGAGGCCGCTCTCAAGTCCCCAGCAATCTGTCTCAGGCCCCTTCCCAAGACACTGGCCTTCCTCACCTGTCTGCCCCAGGGGCACCAGGCACAGCACAGCCACAGGTCAGGCATGCAGCTGCTCAGCTCCACGGCCGTGTGGGGCACTGGCTGCTCCTCTACCATCAGCACCGGACACAAAGGCCGAAAGCCCAGAAGAGTAAACTGGCCTCCACGTAACTGGTCCAAGCGGTGCGGGGCCTGGCGGTAGCAGTGGAGGAGCTTGGAAAGATGAACAGCCAGAAAGGACGCACAAGCTTGTCTTTGTCATGGCCGCCCCGCCCGGAGCCAGCTCAAAAACAGGCCGGTTTTATGAGAAAATGCCTTTCTTTGCATGCTGTAATTGAATCCAGTTGTGGATCAAGGCTACACACTAGTGGGGCTTGAGAAAGGTCTGCCGTTTAGATTCATCTACTCTCGCTGAACGATCTTCTGTTTCCGTTAGACTCCCGTTCGGCAGGGTGCTAGAACATGACGGACAGCATGACCCCTCGGAATCCGGCTCCCACACTCACCCCAGAGGTCGCCGGGGATCCCACAGGCTCCTCGAACACTGAACCTCTTGGATGGAGGCCAGGCGGCCCTTCTGGACATGGAATTCCGCTTTGCAGCAGCGCTGGGAGCCATGTCAGGGCGGCCGAGCGCTCAGAACACTTGGGACTGACGAGCGTGACCCCTCTTCAAGGCGGCTGCCCGCGTTCGGCCGCATCGTTCTCCCGGAGGAAGGGGAGCCTGCTGTGGTCGGGACGGCCATCCCAGGGTGGCGGCACCTGCTGACAGCACGCTTCCCTCTGCCAGTGAAAGAAGACAGTCCCACCCCAGCCGTGCCCCACATCAGGGCCGCAGCCCCACAGCACCGCCGAGCCCGCCTGGGGCCCAGACTCAGACGTCTTAGCCAGAAGCACCCCGGTAAAGCCTGGCTTCTCACGTCCTTAATCACTTCGGGAGTCTCGCACTGGTGAAAAGTCCCCATGGGAAGGACAGTGGAATAGGGGCCGAGTTAAGGAGGACTGAAGTTTTCTTTTATGGTGGGAAACACAGAAGAGGTTGTTGAGCCCCACGGTGGCACAGGGCCCTGTGGCAGGGGCCGCACCGCCAGGCCATCCTCCATGCCGCCTCAGGCGCTTGTGACTCGGGTGGGGGGTGGGGGGAATAAGTTCCCAGCCCAGGGCAAATCACCTCTGAAGCCAAAATCAAAGGGAGAAATAAAGTGGGAGAAAGCAGTCATCTGCTCTGCTCGCCTGTGCCTTTAGCAACCTGGTCACCTAAACAGGCCCCACCCAGCCTCTCTGGTGCAGATACACCCTCGCCTCCCGACCCTTGTAATCACCTGTTGATACAGAGATGGACTTCCCTCCACCCCTCGGACACACCCACTGATACGGAGACGCACTAAGGCCAGGAGAGATTGCGGAAATACTGCACTTTTACCCACATGCTTCACCAGCTTCCGTCTTCCAGCTTCTCCCTGGGAAGTCAGGGTGCCGGCAGGGGACACATGGCTGGCTCGGACACTGACTGAAGGGACTGCGTGCAAGGCTGTGGGCAGGGTGTGCGGCAGCCACCAGACAGCTGGTGAGCAGGTGGGGCTAGTGACAGCAGGGCGCCTGAGGACCGAGAGGAACCCACAGATCCCAGACCCAGAGGGAAAAGCCCTGTGGGAGAGGCCGCCTACCAGGCCCCGTGGCACAGCCCCCCAGGCCACCACACAGCACGAGCAGGGAAGCCAGCACCCCACTGCCAAGCCCTGCTCTCCTCGGGGGTCCTCCACGGGCGGAGGCCACCAGGAGCTGGGGGCGGTGGGCCTGTGGGTGGGGCAGGGCCGGGGGTGGACCTGGAAGAGTCGGCAGGAGACGCCTGCATGCCCACACCCGTGGGGACGGTTTCCCTCGTCTCAGATTCTGGGCCTGGCATGTGGCGGGTCACGACGCATGCTTTTCTGAACAGACGTACGAAGGAAAGAACGCACAGAAGCAAGCACACCGACGTGGATGGGGGGATGCAAGGAAGGAGAGGGGCGATGAGGGGGGGAAAAGGGGATATGGGGAGGCACCACCAGCTGGAGAGGCCAGGCATCACCACCTTGGGGCAGAGCCAAGGTCCCTGCCTGTCCCTTGGCCACTTCGTGACCACCAGCTGCTGGTGCCACAGAACAGGGGTGGCTTTGGATGATGCCGCCTCCCCAGCTCTGCCACCAAGGTCCTCTCCTCAAGCCCCAGAAGCTCCCGGTGACAGACGGCTCCTGGGACGGGAGGGCAGTGTGTCAGCTCGAGACAGACCCTCGGCTCCCACAGGGAGAGGACCCGGCCAGGCACCCCCTCCACTTGGCACCCCGGCATGGTGAGGATGGAAGATGGGGGCTCTGTGCCCCGGGCTCCCGTCAGTCCTCTGTCCCTGGCCGCTTAGAGCCTCCCAGTGAGGCGCCACCCCTCTGTCGCTGCATCCGGAAGGACCGGACGGTCTAAGTCAGCACCGGAGGTGCACTGCGCTACGAGGGACGAGCGGGCTCCCCAGAGCCCCCCGGCCACCTGCTGCCCAGCCTGGCCACCCGCGTCACCTGGCCGCTGGGGACCGTGCTGGCTTCACTGTCACAGCCTAAAAGAAAGAAAATGAAAGAGAAAGATGTCAGTACTGAAATCTTTGTTGATTTTCTAAAATTAAGTGGGAAAGAGAAAGGAGAAATGGACAGCAGGGAAATGATTCCTGCTCTGCTTGCTTGGGCCCAACAGCTGTGAGTTAGGAACAGAGCACCTTCCTGAACTAGGAACTAGCACCCAGGGCTGGAACAGAACACTGGACGCCTGGAAGCAGCCCCAGGCCTATTTCAGGACCTCAGACCAGGGCCAAATGCACCCCCCGCAGCCCCTGCACTGTTTCCTGGAGGCTGTAACAGGTAACCACAAACACGGTGGCTGAAAACGTCAGAAACGTGCCCTCCTGTAGTCCCACACCTGCCGTCTGGGGCCGGGAGTTGGCAGGGCCCTGCTGCCTCCAGGGCCATGGGGGGACCTCGGCCCTGGGCCTCCAGCGCCCGCTCCGGGGCCTGTGGCTGCCCCCCTGTCCTCTCGGTCTGTCCGCACATGGTGTCCTGTTCTGCGTCTTCTCTCCTGCCTTTTGTTACACAGGCATTTGTCACTGGATTTCAGGTCCACTGGATAATCCAGATGACCTCATCTCAGGATCCTTTAATTATATCTGCGAAGACTTTCTGTCCAAACACGGCCACCCTCACGGTTCCAGGCGTTAGGATGTGGGCTCATCTGTCTGGACACCACCATTCAGCCCACAGCGCACCCCCCTTCTTCAGTCTCCCCCTCTCTCTGGATCCCCACAATCTATCCAGAAACACACTCAAGCTGCCTCCTCAAAAGAAAAATACATTCTCCCGCCCCAGTGCCCTCCAAACCTGTGCCACCCACCTGCCGCTCCTTCGCTCAGCTACGGGGCTTCTCTACACAGGCAGGTATTTGTACCTCGTTTCTGACCTGCCACCTGACTTCTTCCCCATTTACTCTTTAGAGCAATTTATTACGAGAGAAGTGGAGAGAGCGATACGACTTTTTAAATGTTCACCTTTTTCTCCACTTAGTTGGTTTTGTGGAAAAGATGACATAAAAATTGCCATTTTAACCATTTTTGCATCAATTACAGGCACTTACTTTTCCATGCTTTGCGATGGGCTGTGACCTACAGTGCACGACTGGTGCTGTCCTATGATAGGCGTCTCAGGGCTCACCCACTCCCGCCCCCCACCTTCTGAGCCCTTCACCAAAGGAGACACATGGACCACGCTCGCATTGAAACCCTGCCCTCGGCTTCCCACCCCCTTGCTCTCTCCTGCGTGGACTGTTTCTCTAGCCACTTTTCCCCATTCCCCAAATCAGAATTCTTCAAGGACCTGCCCGTCTCCCCAGAGTTCTGACTGTTCCTTGGAAACCTCTCATATTCTCGTCCAGGGCTATGGCTTCAACCAACTCCTCATGCGGGCGAGCCATTCGAGCTGAGCCTGGCCTGGAAACCACGTTGACAGCTGAAGCCTCTGAGCCTCGGGTGCCCCTGCTTCTGAGCGTCTCCATCTGCCTGTCGCATTGACACCTCAAACTCCACGGGTCCGAAAGGGGACCCAGGGCCCCTTCTCTCAAACTTGCGCTTCCAGCACGTGCTCCCCACATCTGCGCATGGCACTGCCACCCTCCCTCGGCCCGGGCGGGAGCCTCGGCACCATCCTTGCCTTTGCGTCTGTGCTGACCGTACCTTCTGGCTCCGCAGCAGCCCCCCACCCGGACTGAGCCTCTGTGTGCCTCCCGTCCCCCCCGCAGGCTGGGGCGCCCCCCTCTCGGGTCTCCCTGCAGCCACGCTCCGTTCTGCCTTCTGTTCCACACGTAACGAGCAGCTACCCCGGAAGCACAGTTCCGATCTGCCCTGTCCAGAGCCCTGGGCAGCTCCCACCGCGTGGGGATCGGAGCCCCAGAACCTGCCTGAGCCGCCCCTGGCCGCCACGGCCTCTTTGCTCGGGCCACACAGAACTGCCTGCCTGTCCCGTGGACCCACCCCACGCTGTCCTTCCTCAGCTCTCCCCATTCAGAACACGGGTTTCATCATCCTCTCAAAGACCCCTTTTCTTTCTGTTAACAGTGAGTGAACAACGTAAGAGATACTGACTGAAGAGAAGCTGCCAGATCCCAGAGTGGAATCACCCACCTCTTACGTCCTGCACCAAACAGAAAACACTCCCCAGATTATTCTTATCTGACGGGGCAACAGCTTTGTTCATGGAATTTGCCAGCTTAGACCCAAACCACCATCTGTGGAGACCCAGACATTCTCTGGGCCACTCACCCATCAGGGAGAGCATCGGCTCCCTGCTCTGATGTTGGAACGGAAAGGGGGCTCTGGCCACCGATGAGAGGGGAGCACAGCCGCCGCTTCAGGCCTGGAACCCGATGAGTGGGCACCCCAGGGACCCGGGCGATGCCAGAGATGTGCTGCAGAGATGAAAAGAAATGTCGGAGGAACAAAGAGGGTCGGCCGCGGGCGCTCCACCGCACACCCACTTCTGTGTGTCTCAGTTCCCCGGCCCTTGGCTCCCCCCGGGGCAGCAGAGCGCTTCCGTGGGGCCCGCACACACACCTCCCCAGCCGGACGGACAAAACAAGTTCTTCTGGAAAACCTATTCAGGAATCCATTCATCTGAAGTAGTGCCTCTTTCTGAATACACAGTATTCGAACTTTCAGATTCTTTCTCGGATCCTTTGTCCATTTAGCTACTTCGGTCCCTGCAGCCGCTGAGATGTTCAAAAGCCCTGGGCCACAGCTGCGGAAGGTGCAAAAACGCTCTGAAACTAGAAGCCCCAGGAATTCGCCGAACCGGAGCCTAGGGGCTGGTGTTTCCTTAGCCGAGGGACGCTCTGCGCGCAGCCTGGGCCCCGGGCCCCGCAGGAGCTGCTCTGTGAGGGCGAGTAGCCCCCCAGCCTCATCTGTAAAGTGGGGTCACTCAGCTGGCAGAGTCGCAGTGGGGGTTAAAAATAACAAAGTGTGAAGAGCATCACCTCAGAACCTGGCACTGGAAATGCTCTCATTAATCATAAAATTATTTATAACATTGCAAATTGGGGTGGAAAAGATTAGGCTGTCCATTTAGAATCCTTTTGTTCTTGTTCGTAAGGCACATGAGGGATTTTTCTTTGAAGAAAAGAAAAGCTCTGTAATATGAAATAAGCTAATGTCTGCCCTTCAGATCTGTGTCCCTTTATATTCCTACTTATATTATATTCCTAATTATATATTTTTAATATTCTTTCCAGTCATTCCTTAAGTATGACTCCGACACTGTATTTCACGGACTGTGTTTTGCCGTATTTTCCCCTGCTGTATGCGAGGAGCGCCTCACTACGGTCGTGTGATAGACATTCTCAGGGCATTCCCAGTGTCCCCAGGACAGAGCCCGACTTTCATCTTCGAGCCCCCTTGCCCCCACTCCCAGCGGGAGAGGCCGAGGGGGCCGCGGGGCCGGCAGACGGGGCCCTCGCCCTTCCCCGTGGCGGGCGGGTCTGAGGCCGGGCCAAGCGCACCTGTTCAGGAAGCTGACACGCAGGGAGGCGGGCAGGCATCCGAAGCTGGCCTCCCCTGGGCGCTCCCTGGGCGTCCTTTAGGGCACCTGCAGGGCAGAGACTCTGTAATCCAGGCCCAGCCCCTCCATACCCTTCAGCTCCCGTCACCGAAGGGTCTAGATCCACCCTGACGGGTAGGGGAGCACAGAGCCAACTCTTTCTAAGCAACAAGCACTTGAACCACGGGGACCTCACTGCCAGCCTGGACACGGCCAGGACTGCCCCTGGCACCCCTTCTCTGCCTTCCCGCCCCCCAGCACTCTCTGCTCCTGATGGTGCCTAAGTCAGCACATCCTTTGCCTGGTTAAAAATCCACTTGAACAACGCCTTTCCTCCCCGATCCTCATGAACGACATTCTTGGAGCCCCTTCACTAGGGAGAAGCACAGCTACCTCCATTTCCCAGCCCCCCAGGAAGCGGAGGACCACCTCCCCTCACCCCCGCCACACCCCACTGACCCTCAGGCCCACTTCTCTCCCTCCTCAGTCTCTTGAGGCAGGAGGTGGGGGCTGGTGGCTTCGGTGGTTCTGTTCTCACGCGACTCCCAGTAGCCAAGTCCAGGGCAACAGAAAGCGCCCCACTCGGCACCTTGTTACATATTTAAACTGAATACAGTTCCATGTCCGGAGTCCTCTGTCCCTACGTGTAGCGGCATCGCATCCCGTCTACATTTGTGGTAGTTCAGCACTGCTGGAATCAATCCCTTTTGTTTATATATGTTTTATGTTTTATACTGAAAAAGTCTTCCTTTTGCGTTCACTTTTGAAAGACGTTTTTGCTGGTATAGAATTCTAGGTTGAAGGTGTTTTCCTTTCATATTTCAAAGAGGATTATTGTTCCTGTATCTGGTCACTTGCTTTGTTTCTGACAAGAACCCCGCAGGCATCCTTATCTTTGTTCCACTGTTTGTAACACAACTTTTTTCTCTGACTCCTTCAGGATTCTCTTTTTATCGCTGGTTTTGAGCAATCTGACTATCATGTGCCTTCGCATAACTTCCTTCATGTTTCTCTTGCTTGAATTTTACTCTGTTGAGTGGTGGATATTCTCTTATTTTAAAATATTCTTGAGTATTGTTCTGGGACACAATGCAGGTACTTGGAAATTGTTTGAGCCTTTCAAGACTTGTTTTTAAGCTTTGTGGGACAGACCAGAGCAGCCTTTAGTCCGAGGCTCCTTGGGCCTCATTACTGAGACAACACCCTCCCGGGTCCTCTACTCAACGCCCCGTGAACTACAAGGTTTTCAGCTCTCGCTGGTGGGACGGGGGCCCCTCCCTGTGCTGTGCGGACTCCGGGGCTTGCTCTCTCCGATCTTCTTGGGTGGTTCTTTGCCTGGCCTCGTGTGATCGGTACTCAGCTGAAGCCTTGGAGGGGACACTCTGGTAGAACTCCAGAATTCTATCTGTGCAACTCCCTTCCCTCCAGTATTCTACTCTGTGAATTCTAGCCTCACTGACCTTCGGGGACCCCAGCTCCGTCTCCTCTCCTCAGAGATACTGCGGGCTCCACTCCCTTTCCTCTTCCCTCACCTGGGGCCTGGGATTCTCCCCAGGTAGTAAGCTGCGGGCAGTCACAGACCCGCCTCACTTGGGTCCCCACTCTCAGGGGTCACTGTGGCACACTGCCCGTGTCTCAGGGTATGCCAATCGTTGGTCCAGTTACTCTGCTGGTTTTTTACTTCTTTCAGAACTATGGTTTTACTGTGCATTTCCTGGGATTCCTTGCCACAAGGACTTTAGAAAGCACTTAAACCCATACCTACCACTTGCCAGTGAAGAAACAGGCAGAACAAGGGACCTGCCTAAGTGGAGGACGAACCCTGAGCCGGGCCAGATCCCCTGCCTTCCGGCAGAAGTTGATTTGAAAGAAGTGAGCTCCCGGGAGAAAAGAAGGAGCTTAGGGAACTTCAAACCAAGAGTCCGTGTGTCAAAGGTAAGCAGTTAGTTGCTCTCAGTGTCGCACTGTCTTCTTCATTCCTACGTCACCATGTTTTGTGCCTCCCATGACATCGGCCCGTTGGTAACAAGAGGCTCCTGTTCCATCTGGTGTCCTCTACCACGTCGGTCTCCTAGAAGAACTGGAGGACATCACGGAATCTCAGAACCAGGAAGATGCGGATAGCAGAGCTGGGATTTGGGCCCAGACCCCGAAGACTGCCCAAGGAGGCCCGAAGGTGATCTGGGTGAACGGATTTTCCAGAGAAGGAAACCAGGAGCAGACAGGTTCCCTGGCGCACCCGGGCAGAGCTAAGATCTTGGTTTTGCGCTCAGATGCCCATCTCTGAAAGACAATGTGCTTGAGTGTCAAGCACTCAGCTCTTAATGCTGCGCTTTTAATACGTGTTCAGCTCACTGCACTGTTCACCTGAGAACTGCTTCAAACCCAGCTGGGATTCTACATCAGAAACTTTTCCAAGTTTTTGTCCATGTTTTCAGAGCACTTACAACGGTCTATTTTGCTTTTTCATCCACACAGCAGGGTGAGAGGCCCCAGCAGAAGCCCGGGGTCACTAGGAAAGGAGGTTTTGGAGAGGTGGACGGTGCCAGAGAGCAGGCGGGGGCAGAAGGAAGGAAGCAATGAAAGCAACAAGCCCATTTCTCAGCTCATTTCAAAAGCCTCTAATTTGGGACACTGAGCAGATACATATCTAGTTTCCTTTGTTTAAGATACTTTTAAGGGAACCTACCCTCCCCATTTAGTGTAATATAATGCTGAACACACCCTTCTCAGCACGTAAGAAGCCAGGATGGTCCAGCTTTGGGCACGGGGTGAGCTTTGCTTTGCTTGTTGACCAGCCATCACAATGGGGCCTTTCACCGCTGGACCACGTGGCTCCGGGCACTGTGCCCTAGAAGCTGGCAGAGGCTCTGGGCCACACAGAGAAGGGGACCTTGTCCTTGTGCTGTGCATGCAGCATGGATGCCTGGAGGTACTTGCGATCGCTGCTCGGTTCCCAGCTCCGGCGAGGGTCTGAGCCACTCAGGTGCACTTCTCCACCCCACTGTGCGCCTCTGCATCTGCGGGGGGCCAGAGCCGGCCAGGCCCCCAGAGGAGGGGGCGCCAGGTCAAGGGCCACTCAGGCAAACACACATGGATGCACAAAAAAACCTTGCAGAGGTAAAAAGTCAGCCCTCTGTATTTACTGCGGTAATTATTTTCACTTCTTTTATGAACTTGTAAATTTTCAGAGACAGCTAAATTAAGCAGAATCTCCAAGTGGAAAATTTTCACATAGATAAAAGTGGGGAAGTGAAATTGGGTCATCAGGGAGAGCAAAATACATCTTACATCCAACTGAGGAAAAACTGTTCCAAACACTGCTTTTATGGCAATTGAGTGGCACTGCCCACACCCCATCGTGCCCCTGCAGCCTGACTGGTGCCTCTGAGGGCCGTTGCTTTTGTACTGTCTCTTTTGTGTTAAGCAAATATTTTCAGTGTGTCATCTTTATTCTATTGACAGTATGCAAACTATTTTAAAAATTTGTTTTATTAATGATTGCCCTAAGGATTAAAACATACTTCTTACATTGTCACAACCTATTTCAAGTTAATACTGACTTAACTCCAGTAAAGTACAGCAACTTGGCCCCAACACAATTCCATTCCCTCCTTCCTTAATGTTATTATTATAATAATTATACATGTATTATAAGCACAAAATGAGTGTTATGGCTTTACAGAATATAACAGTTTTTAAAGAAAAGAAATACACTTATAGTCTTCTAAATTTATCATTTACTGTGTACTTCATTCCTTTTTTCTTTTTTGAATGAAAACATGTGTTTAGCGTTAGTGGCCGGACTGTGTAGATGGCCCCAGTGCTGCCAGCAGTGGCAGCACCCAGACTGTGGTCGGGAGCCAGTCGGACACGCACCTGCCCCTCCCTCGGGCCGACCAGGGGTGGACCTCGGCCATGCCGGCGTCACTGCCTGTGTGGCCAGGGGCTCGGTGGCCCTGACCCCGGCGTGAACACAGGTATGTTGCCATCTGCCATCTTCACAGTGGGCTCGGGGGTCGGGGGCCTGGTGGCGGGCAGGAGCCAAGCCTGTCCCTCTAGGTGCCCTGCCCTCCAAAAGCTCCGGGTTGCCCGCTGCCATGGGTCTTGGGCCATGGGAAGGCAGGCGACCCGTGGGCCTCCTTCCCATGGCCGCCGTGGCCTCCAGCCCCACTGTCTTGGTCCCACGGCCTCTGCCTCGGCCTTGGGAGGGGCTGGGGCCTCTTTATACCCACTTTCAGCACCATCACCAGGAAAAGCTTCATTTCTGCCCAGATCCCAGTTACCACATGGCAGCTTCCTCTGAACCTGAACTTCCTCTCTTATTTCTTGTAAGGAGGGTCACCTAGCAACAAATTCTGTTTTCATCTGGGAATATATTTCATTTCCATTATTAAAGGGTAGCTTTATTGCATATAGAATTGCTGGTTGAGAACTTTTCTTTTTTCTTTCAGCAAGTTGAATGTCATTCTACTATCTTTGGGGCTCTCTGGTTTCTGATGAGCAATTGGCATTTGATCAAAATGCTCTCCTGTGCGCGATGCGTCGCTGTCTCCCACAGGCTCCAAGATTCTCCCTTTTTTTGCCCACAATGTGTCTCATGTGAGTCTCTTTTTATTTATGTTGCTCAGGGTTTGTTGAGCTTCTGGGATCTGTAGGTCAATGTTTTCATAAAACTTGAGAAATTTTCTGCTATTATGTTGTGAAATATTTTCTGCCATGTTCTCTTTGAGCCTCCTGGGACCCCACTTACACGTATGTTGGTATTCTTGGTCCCACCAG